TTTGCCCATGCCTGGTCTATTATGAAAACTGGAGAGTGAAAAATGCTGACAGGAAGAAAACTGCTTTTGAAATGGGCTGGAGAAGAGTTCTAAAAATACCTCGAGCTGCTAAAAAGACAGATAAATAGATATTAGGACTGATGAAACCTGAACTCTTCTAAGAAACGAAGGCGACTAAACCGAGGCGCCTTGGACGCATTAAGAATGACTCACATTGGAAAGCGACAACAGAAGAAGACAGCAGGAAAAAAGAGGGGGGCTGTCTTACAACATCTTCTATTAGCAGCATCATTCCACAAATTAGAAGCGTCTCTAATTTGTAGATCCTCAGATACAAATTTATATTTGCCTTTTGCTCTTTAAACATATGACTCATTGGATGTAGGCATAAACAGACTCCACCTTCCAAGCCTGCTTTGCACCTGCCTTCATTTGGTGAGCTTTGAGGCTGTAGGTGAGTCAGTTTGCCCTGCCCCAGCCTGTAAGAGCTCTGGCTACGGCTTCGCTTCTACTTCCCACCTTTACAATGTTCAAGGAAGGAATCAGGTATCCTGTTCTGGCCTGGGATGTTGCTTTCATACCCACAGCTGCAGTTATCTTTGCTAATAATACTAGATCCATGTTGTTTACTTGAGAATCCTGTGCATTTTCATGCAAGGGACATGGGAGAGAGAGGCCTCTGCAGGTCCAGAGTCGATTTGAAGTTGAACATGCCCCCCCCCCCCCCATAAAAGATAGTAACTTATAGTTTTGCTAAGGACAAGGACACCAGACTGGATAATAAGGGTTAAGCCTTGGTCAATTTGCCAAGACACTAACAACAACAAGGACCCTTCCCATGTTAGATAGTGTGTACATTTAATCAAGGTTTTATGCCCTAGGTTTCATATATAGCAGAAGGTAGCACATTTATTACTGAGAAACCACCTCCCTTTACACTTATGTGCTCTCTTGAACTTCTATGGGACTCTGGTGGGAGGGATAAGTGGGTATGTTTTCTATAACATGATTTCTATATTCCTCCCTGTGTATCTGACCTTTTCCTGACCCTTTTTGCCCAATTCCCCTTTATTGAAAAATGTATAAAAAATATAAGGAAGCCACCCTGACCCTGGAAAGGAAGAAATTAACAGTTGAAAGAACCCTTATCAAAAGACACTCTTTGCATGGACTATAACAAAGGATCGTGACCTCTGGCATCGGAGGTTTTGGCCACCAGAGGAAACGGCCGCTTGGCAATTTTGATTATATCACAATGGGACAGAGGGGAGCCTTTGGAAAGCTGCACCTCACCCTGATCTGTCAACCATTCAATCTCTCTACCAAAACATCCACTCAAAGTTTCCCCCCATTGTTCCTCTGTCTTGGCATGGAAGAAAATCCGGATTATGGCAGTATCACCTACATCAATGTTTATTAGAACCACTCAAAGAACAATAGAAGGCTAGCTCATAGGCCTTTAGGACTCGCCGGCCCCTTGGACATTTCCTGAATTTCCATAATCCACTCAAGAATGCATTGTATTCCCTTGTTCCACCTCCCTCTCTCCTGATTCTCTGAAGCGCCGAGGCGGCCGAAGCCCTGTGATTGGCCCAGGCGCACAGCAGAAGCCTTGTGATTGGCCCAGGCACTCGAGAGACGGCCGAGCCTCCTCCCAGCTGCTGAAGCACCAGCCAATCACCTTCAAGCCAGGTGGATGGCAGGGAGCGGGAGATTCAAACCAGACAACTCTGTTTTTCTATAAAAATGGCTTTTATTTGTACTCATGCATGCTTAGCTTGGCAAAATATTGCTGCTCTGCATCCTTTTCAGCTGAATCACAATAAAATCATCTCGGTGGCACTTCCTTCAACCTTGGTGAGATTCTTTTTGGGAACCTAGGGGGGAAAATGGGCTTCTCTTCGCTCACCATTGTAGCAATCCCTCTTTGGTGGGGCCGCAGGGGCTCTCCTTCAGGGCCAGACCCTTTTAAATTCCACCTCGATTTCAACATGTCAGTTCATAATAAACTACAATAATATTATATTGATGGTCACACATTTTCCCCTGCTCATTGAGGACATCACCAGCAAGAATGTCATATTGGAGATGGAGCAAGATTATTTTTTGCTAAGAGTGCATCCACACTGGAGAATGAATGCAGTTCAACACCACTTTAATAGCCCTGGCTCCATGCTATGGCATCATGGGAGCTGTACTTTTACTATGTCTTGAGCTTTCTCTAACAAAGAATGCTTGTTTTTTATCTGTTCAATCACTTCCAACTCTTCGTGACCTCATGGACCAGCCCAGGCCAGAGCTCCCTGTCAGTCGTCACCACCCTCAGCTCCTTCTTCAGAGTCAAGCCAGTCCCTTCAATGATACCATCCATCCATCTTGCCCTTGGTCGGCCCCTCTTCCTTTTTCCTTCCATTTTCCCCAGCATCATTCTCTTCTCTAAGCTTTCCTGTCTTCTCATGATGTGGCCAAAGGACTTCATCTTTGCCTCTAATGTCCTTCCCTTCACTGAGCAGTTGGGCTCTGCATTCTGTTCAGGAGTGTTGTTGTTGTTGTTAGGTTCTTGTGGGTTTTTTCGGGCTATAGGGCCATGTTCTAGAGGCATTATTCCTGATGTTTTGCCTGCATCTATGGCAAGCATCTTAACAACCAGGCACATCTTAACACCTCTCAATAAAAGGTTTTCCCAGGCTCAGGCAGGCCTTCAAATGCTAATGAAGGTGGTCAGCTGAAACATTCACACCTAG